ACATTTATCCGTTTTAAATACACTAACCTCACTCCTTTGTAACAACTAAGGCAAAAAATGTAATTAATTCTGAAAATCTTTTCAGGACCCCACCTTGATGACCCCAACTTTGCGAAACACTGGTTTATACCACAAATGCTCGGCTTAAAATTTCTGCACAGAGCCGCTCCGACATCAAGTCGCTTCATTCGAAATGAAGTCAGAAGGCAGTAAAGTGCGTAAAGTTGCCAAAAAGTGCTGAAAAAAACGGTCCGCCATAAAGCAGCGGAGTACGAGCTTCACCTCAGATGACCCAGGCAGCCAGACGGGCTGTCTGCTGCTAGCTGCTACCCCGGTTTGAACCGACGTGCAGCGGCAACAACACTGGAACTGACACCGCAACCCCAGCGCTCTGCTCCTTGTTACACTCCCCCCATAAAAACAACAACAAAAAGACGCTGGAATAAATGTTTTTGTTCACAACTACAGGGCTGAGTATTACTCGGGGTGGAAAGGGAGTCAGCCAAAACCAATACATTTCCCGACATGAAAGGATAAACATCCAGAGAGCGGGCAGCCACGTCTCGTGTGTGGGGGGAGAGGCTAAGGCTAAAGCTTAGCTTCGCCGGGTCGCCCGTCATTAGCAGGGGGGGCTAACTGGCTAGCGCTTAGCTCCCCTGGCTAACACATTACGGGCACTTTCACCGGTGGCGGAGGAGGAGGGGAACGGGAGAAGTTGGCTGCCCCGAAAACCATCGCGAACCGGACGGCTTTTCTTTCTTTTCTCATCTGACAACTGTTCAGAAACATAAGGGATAATACAGCAACTAAAGTTACCAAACCGGTACATACTCATGTTTTTTTTTTTAAGTTTGCCTGCCGTGGAGGTTTGTCGGCGGGCAGCAAGGTGATTCCCTCCCGGGGAGGATGGAGGGGACGGTCGCTAGCTGCAGCAGCAGCCAGAGAGGGAGAGAGAGAGGCAGCAAAAAAAAAAAAAACAACCCGCTTTAATAACTTCACTTCTCCGAATTCCTCCCGAGGAGTTGAGGGGAGAAAAAGAGAAGTTTCCCGTGGGTCCTACCTGCTAGCAGCGGGCGGTGTTCGAGGCGCGACGGGCTGYAAGTTGATTTATCCCCGGATATCCAGAGTGGTGCGGTGCGGAGCGCATATAGCTAGCGCTGGGTACAGTAAAGATTGTAGCATAGCTAACCTAAAGACAACAGTAGAGAGGAGGAAAAAAAAAAAAAAGCCTCCTCGTTGCTCATAGGGGGGATCGACGACAAAAACCACATGATCTTTTACGTCAGCATATATTTGCATAGGATGCCAAAAATTTATGTTCGGCGTCCAGGTGACGTGAAAACCGCACAGAAAAGTTTGTCGCCGGATGAACCGGACTCGGGGGGGCACCTCTGGTCCCCCCCTCGGATCTGCACCACCTTTCCGCCTCATGACTCCACGGATGCCTGCTAATCACCACTCCTATATTTATACATATACAAATCCACAATTTGCTGCAACAAACTAAATCTGTAATACATTACTCAAATAAAATCTCACTTTTATCAAATGTGGCATCAATGCATTGCATCTGCACTGTTTATGTTTAAGCTCCAGCTCGGTTCTAATGTACAGAACCCGCTTATTTGTTTATTTTTGCAGCAAAAGCTGGTTCCAGTTTAAAGTAAATGTTTGCAAAAATGCGAGGTTTCTAAAAGTTTGCAGTGACACTACAGAAAATTGCTAAAAGAAACACAAAAAAATAGCAGAGCTTAAATATTTTTAACACCTGTTTGATCCTTTGGATGACCTCCCAATCAGCAGCCAGCAGTAGCCCGAAAAAAAAAATTTTGAGAATTAAAATTATATACTTTTTTTTGTTATTTAATTGAAAAAAAAAAGGTAAACAAGAGTCATTAAAGTTTGCATGTTCATCAAAGTGCTGTTTGCATTTCATCCTCCTCGTGCATTTTTGATAAATGGGCTTGTTGTTGCGGATCAGATGCAATAAATGTGCAAACCGCAGGAACGCTGCGAAAAGACGGCAAACAGCGACACCTACAGGTGATGTTGAGGACTACAGCAGAAAACGGGTAAAAGGTGCTATTTTACATAAATTCAAATTAAAACATTATACTTTGGTTGATAAATGCTTTTTTTTTTACTTTTATGAAGTTACGTATTTTTAAGTTTCTTATTCTACTACTATTTAGTGTGGGAAAATATTTTGATAAAGTTAAAAAAGTCTCAATTATTGAATTGTTTACTCATATTGAACGAGTTAGTTG